TGGGGAGACATTCTTGGGGTGGCCAAAGGGCATGGGCTGCATAAACCTTCCCACATGCGGCCTGCGAGTGCTATCGACCACCCCTGACCTAAGGGAGGGCGTGAAACTGGAAGGGCCTGGTGTAACTCCTACCAAGGAATGGGAGAGATGCTGGGGCATCCATGGGAACGTTGGTGGCTTCGAACTTCCCCAGGTCACCTGCTAAAGTGACCCCGCTCAGTTCGATCTCGAAGGGGGGAGAGATGTGACGAAGTGGGACTGTTCTTAATGTTTCCTCTGAATAGTGTGGGGGTGCCTCAGTTTCCCCTAGGCAGTTCTTAAGTATCTAGGGGGTGGAGTAAGGGTGTATGATCATTGCAGTGCCCTAGAGGGCATGTGTGTGCAGGAGTCTGGACACAGAGAATGGCCGACACCCTGTTTCCTGGCAACTGATGGCCTGGGCCCTTCCCCCCCTGCAAGGTGAGAGCTGAAGGGTTGGAGAACAAAGGAATCAGGTGACCTCCTGGCCCGGGAAAGGAACAAAGCCCAGAGGAGGAGGGGCTGGAGGGGTTTTCAGTTTGGGGCTGGCTGGGACATGGAGTGAAGTGCAGACGTGGTTGTCTGGCTCACTGCCCCCCAGAATGGACCCAGCTGAGGGGTCCCGTTCTCTGCACCTGCAAGCTCTGTTTTAGACCATGTTCCTGTCGTCTAATAAACCTTCTGTTTTACTGGCTGGCTGAGAGTCACGTCTGACTGCGAAGTTGGGGTGCAGGACCCTCTGGCTTCCCCAGGAGCACCGCCTGAGCGGACTCGCTGGGGGAAGCACACGGAGGGGCAGAGGATGCTGAATGCTCCGAGGTCAGACCCAGGAAGGTGGAAGCTGTGTGAGCTGTGTGTCCTGAAGACAGGCTGCTCACAGAAAGGCGACTACCCCAGAGTCCTGACTGACTTCATGGGGAGCAGTTCCAGAGCATCGCCCAGGGACTCCGTGACAACAGTCTGAGAGAGCAAGAGGACTGTGAGAGACAGCGAGAGCCCGAGAAAGAGCTGCAGAAGCAGCAGCAGCATGAACTGGCGTTGGGGGAGCGGAGAGGCCTAGGGGACCTCCCCGGGGTGAGTGGGGATAGATCCCGGGGGGCCAGTTCCGCAGGGAACCTCGAGACTAAATTGCTGCCCCTGGTTAAGGAGGGGGGGGTGTGGATGCCCACCTCACTGCCTTTGAGCAGGCTGGCGATTTGAACCAAGGGGACCCTGCGGAAAAGCCCCGGTGTCTAGCTCCCTTGCTGGGTCCCAAGGCCATAGACTCCGTCAGCCAGATGGTTGGGGATGTGGACAGGCTCCCACTCCTGACCCCAACCTATATGTCTGTGTGGAGTTTCCTGGGGCCAGGCCCCTCGGACCTCCAGTGGGAGCAGAAGGTGATGGTCAATGGGGAGACATTCTTGGGGTGGCCAAAGGGCATGGGCTGCATAAACCTTCCCACATGCGGCCTGCGAGTGCTATCGACCACCCCTGACCTAAGGGAGGGTGTGAAAATGGAAGGGCCTGGTGTAACTCCTACCAAGGAATGGGAGAGATGCTGGGGCATCCATGGGAACGTTGGTGGCTTCGAACTCTGGGCAGACCGACCCAAATTTTGCGGATGATACTAAACTGGGAGGAGTGGTAGACACACTGGAGGGGAGGGATAGGATACAGAAGGACCTAGACAAATTGGAGGATTGGGCCAAAAGAAATCTGATGAGGTTCAATAAGGATAAATGCAGGGTCCTGCACTTAGGACGGAAAAACCCAATGCACCGCTACAGACTAGGGACCGAATGGCTCGGCAGCAGTTCTGCGGAAAAGGACCTAGGGGTGACAGTGGACGAGAAGCTGGAAATGAGTCAGCAGTGTGCCCTTGTTGCCAAGAAGGCCAATGGCATTTTGGGATGTATAAGTAGGGGCATAGGGAGCAGATCGAGGGACGTGATCGTTCCCCTCTATTCGACATTGGTGAGGCCTCATCTGGAGTACTGTGTCCAGTTTTGGGCCCCACACTACAAGAAGGATGTGGATAAATTGGAGAGAGTCCAGCGAAGGGCAACAAAAATGATTAGGGGTCTGGAACACATGAGTTATGAGGAGAGGCTGAGGGAGCTGGGATTGTTTAGCCTGCAGAAGAGAAGAATGAGGGGGGATTTGATAGCTGCTTTCAACTACCTGAAAGGGGGTTCCAAAGAGGATGGCTCTAGACTGTTCTCAATGGTAGCAGATGACAGAATGAGGAGTAATGGTCTCAAGTTGCAGTGGGGGAGGTTTAGATTGGATATTAGGAAAAACTTTTTCACTAAGAGGGTGGTGAAACACTGGAATGCGTTACCTAGGGAGGTGGTAGAATCTCCTTCCTTAGAGGTTTTTAAGGTCAGGCTTGACAAAGCCCTGGCTGGGATGATTTAACTGGGAATTGGTCCTGCTTTGAGCAGGGGGTTGGACTAGATGACCTTCTGGGGTCCCTTCCAACCCTGATATTCTATGATTCTATGACCTTTGGGGAGGTTGGCAGAGGGAGGCTGTTAGTTCCCCTGTCCAGGCCAAACCCCGATGTGGGCAGCTCCCTTCCCCTGGCGTGGTCACTGCAGGGTGGGATTCTCCTTCACTTCCTGTCCCAAACGGCTGCGGGGGGGGGGGGGGGGGGTCCCTGAGATCTCAGACCTGCCCCTAGCTTCCCCCAGCAAGCAGCTCAAAGCCCCTGTAGCCGGCGCTGATCCGGGAGAGGGACACAGAACCAGGCCCCTGGTGTGTCCTGGGCTGGGCTCCGGGGGCTTTTGTCAGCTTGGTCTCCGCCTCCGGCCTGCTGGGCACCCAGAAATGCAGGGAACCCTCTGCCTGGCAGGTGCCCAGTGCCCTGCGGCACGACGGACCCGGGCAGCTCCCTGGGCTGCTCAGGAGGCCACACCCGGGTTGTTTTTGCCACGCTGGGCTGGGCAGGCAGCGGGGCCTGGGCTGCTGGACATGGACGGTCCCCTCTGAGCCCAGCGGTGGGGCCTGTCTGCCGTTGGGCCCTGGGGGGCAGCTCGCTTCACTGTTCCCTCGCGCTCCCCCTGCTTGTGGGGGGAGGCCTGGGAACTGGGGGATGGAAGGTGGGCCTGATGCCAAGGTGAGGGGCCTGAGCCTCCTGAATACTCATCCGTAGAACCTGTGAGGTGCGGCTGGAAATTGGGGTGGCAGCTGGAGAGATCAGGGCTCCCCTCACCCCCTGCGAGCTAATGGGACTGCGGGGCGCGCTCGGGGTGGTGTTCTCAGGGGGTGGGAAGGTAGGGGCTCCCTAGCCATCTGGGCCTCCCATGGGTGCCTCCCCCCAGCGTCCTGGGCAGCCCCCAGTCCTCGGGCCAGCCTGCTCCGTTACTCTAAACTTCCCCAGCAATTTGAGTGGGGGGGGGGAGCTGCCCTCCCTGAGCTCTGTTGGCTTCAGCAGAGTTGGAGCAGGCCTGAGCTGCTGCCCGGTGTCTCAGGGTGGCAGGCGGCGCTGAACGGCCCCCCCCGGCTGCCGTGAGCTGGGTGAGTGCTGGCGGCGCAGGCTGCCCCGAAGCTTCATCGCACCAGAGTAAACAGGAGCTGCTGGGCTAATCCCCGGTGCTGTGCCCAGGGGCACTGCTTCCAGAGGGAGTGGGGAGGGGAACCCTGGGCCAGGCATCACCCCTCTGCTCTCCCATGGAACCTCTCGCCCTGTATCGGCCAGGAGCGAAGTCAGTCCTGGCCCAGCCTCTGCCCCGAGCTCAGACTCGATTTAGAGCTGAGGGGAACTTGGTTCTTCTTTATCCCGGCCCATCTGCTGGGCAGGAGCAGATGTCGGTGGCCTGCGACCTGGGGTTTGTTGGAGGAGAAATCAGTGATGCAGAGGCTGGGATATGCTTATTGTCACTGGTTTTGTTTACACAAATGCACCCATCCCTGAACAGAGGTGGTCACAAACAGCATGCAGAGAAATCCCATCCCCCAGGAATCTCAGCCCAACACCAGTGTCTGATTCCCAAGGAGCAACTCTGCCTCCAGTATTGTCTGTTATTAGCGAGATGAAGGCAAAGGGCAAACTCTCCTGCAGCTCACCACAGCTCCCCCACCCCCAAAAAACCTACAAGAACCAAATGACACTAATAACAAACGTGCATTTCTTCAATGGCTAACAACTTGCTCGCACAGCAAGAAAAAGAACTTGTAAGACTATGTGTAATGGCGCCATCTGGTGAGCCCTGCCACAACGATGTATATTTATCCTGGGCTGGGTTATGAGAGCTAGTCTCCAGCCTGAGCACCTGGATTTGAAGCCCCCCCCGGGAGTGAACCGTGGCTCCGTGGCCAGGGGCACAGCGCACCCTCAAGCAGAGAGCTCACATGCCTGGGGGCACAGCAGGCAGAGACTCGCCTCTGGGGCCTGGAGATCAGGTCCCCACTCTGGTCACAGGCAAAGGGACATTGGCAGAGCTCAGTGTTTTGTTGAGTCACCTCAGACTCTTTGCAAAACACCTCCTGATTCCTGACTCCGCTCAAAAGATTCCTGGGACTTGACTGGCGGGGGCAGGGGGAGGCTGTCAGTCAGGATTGAGGGGCACTAGCTAGCCGGGGGCTGTGGGTCGGGAGTGAGGGGCACCAGCAGAGACGGGGGGCAGGGAGCCCAGGGCTGAGATAGCCGGGGGCTGCGGGTCGGGAGTGAGGGGCGCCGGCACAGCTGGGGGGCAGGGAGCCCAGGGCTGGGCTAGCAGGGGGCTGCGGGTCGGGAGTGTGGGGCCCCGGAGAGCTGGGGGGCAGCCCAGGGTGGCGATCAGAGCTGCAGCTGCTCTCTGGAGCCTGGGTCCCTCCTAGCCCCTCCCCATGGGCTCAGAGCAGCCCCTTGCCGCTGCCTCTGGGCTGCTCCCAGCCCTGCCCGTTCTCCGCCCCGGGCACTGGGCTGGCCCCGCGGGGAGGGACCGGGCGGTGACAGCTCCGGCAGGCGGGGAGCCGGGGGCGTGGCCAGGGGCCGCTATAAAGTCAGGGGCTCTCGGCTCCCCCAGGCAGTGCGGAGTCTGGATGGCTACTGGCCGGACTGAGAGCAGGCTGTGAAGCCCTCTCCTCTCTGCGCGTCTGGGGGGGGCTGCCTGGCACCCCGGCTGGGACCCTGCTGCCTTCCTGGGCCTGCGCGCTCCTTCTGCCCCGCTGCCCGCGGCTGGCCGGTCCGTTATTCGCCATAGCGCCCGGTCCCTACGCCCGCCCGCCATGCCCTCGGGAGGCCTCTCCGCTGTGCTGCTGCTGGCCACCATGGGCCTGTGTGTCAGCGACGAAGCCATCCACTGCCCGCCCTGCTCGGAGGAGAAGCTGACCCGCTGCAAGGCGCCCATGGGCTGCGAGGAGCTGGTGCGGGAGCCGGGCTGCGGGTGCTGCGCCACCTGTGCCCTGAGCAAAGGGACGCCCTGCGGGGTTTACACGGCCCGCTGCGGCTCGGGGCTGCGCTGCTACCCGCCCCGCGGGGTGGAGAAACCCCTGCACACGCTGATGCACGGGCAGGGGGTCTGCACGGAGCTCTCCGAGATCGAGTCCCTGCAGGAGAGCCTCCAGCCGGCAGGTAAGGGGGCTGGGCGTGCGGGGGGGGGCATGCATGGGAAGGGAGCCCCCGACCCCCCCCCCAGGTCAGTGCCCCTCAGGCTGGCGCGGAGGGGGTGAGCCATGGGCTGGCATAAAGGGGCAGGTAAGGGGGCTGGGCGTGCGGGGGGGGGCATGCATGGGAAGGGAGCCCCCGACCCCCCCCCCAGGTCAGTGCCCCTCAGGCTGGCGCGGAGGGGGTGAGCCATGGGCTGGCATAAAGGGGCAGGTATGTGTGGGAGGGGAGGGGTTGGATGGTCTGTCCCTGGACACTCAGCTGCCCCGGGGCACTGCAGGGAGGTGAGCCGTACCCACGGCTGGACCTTTAACACCCACAGGCGCAGAAGTGCCCTCCCCAACTGGCCAGCAACGGGGGCTTGGCAGCTGGGAGGCCCCTGTGGGAAGATGCTAATGGCCAGACTCCGCTGAGAGACCGAGCCGGATCGTTTGGGCAGGAAGGGGTTAATGCCAGTGGCCGGTGCTCGGGAGGGGGCAGTTCTCCGGGTACGAGGGGCAGACAGGGGGCACTCAGAGGAGCCTGGCTGGCTGCAGTAGAGGAGCCCGGCTGACCCTCTGTGCCATCCCGGGGGGCGGGGGGGCAGCCCCGCTGGTGCACTTGTCTGCCAGGGCAGAGCTGGGCTGGTTCTCTGCAACAACTGGCACGAGGATCCCGGCGCCCAGTGTCTAGCTTGCCCACCCCATGCCAGGTGCCTGCGTTTCCCCCAGTGCCAGCCGTGGCGGGTTCCTTGCCAGGTGAGGAAACCCACGGATTTCCTTGCCCATCCTTGCTCTGCCAATGAGGGGCCCCCTCACCACAGTGCCCAGAGGCCGGCCAAGAGGCGGAGCAAATGAACGGGCCCAGCACTGGCCGAGCACTGTCTGGGCTATGGGCCATGGGGGCTCCAGGCCCCTGGGCCAGCCCTGTGCCTTGATCCAGGGGCACTCCAGGAACAAGACAGCCCCCAGCTGATCCATCACCACAGGGTCAGATTTGCATCCTCTGGCCCCACCCCTAGCCCCTCAGACTCCGCCTCCTCCCCTGGCGGCACACGGAGGGGTAGGAGACGGGGACTGTGTCATGCAGCTGGCTGAGCCCCTGTTCCACGGGGCACCCTGTGTGCATGGGCCTAGGTGGCATCATCGGCCATGCCACATCCCCCTCCCCAGGGCACGGGCTCGGCAGGCTGGCTGGGGGTTACAGAGCAGAGGAGCCCAGTGTCGGGAGGGTGGATGGAGAGTTCGTTCCCCTTGCTCAGAAGGACACGCTCCCTCCTCCGGTTCCCTGGCACCCCCATGCCCTCTGCTGCTCCCCTCCTTGCTCCGCTGGGCCACACAGCAGCCCGGGAGGAAAGAGGCCTCTGGGCACAGGCTGCCCTTTCGAACCAGGGTCTGGCCTTGGCCCTGGGGCTGGGAGTCAGGGAGGGGGTGAGATCTGTTCCCCACCCCAGCCAAGAGCCTGGGAGTGAAGGACGGACCCCTCGCAGCTTGGGCTAGGGAGGGCTGCAGGACGCCACCGAGGGCGAGTGGAATAGGAATACCAGGCATCCACCCACACATCTATCCGTCCAGCCACCCGTCCGTCCATCTGTCCAGCCGTCCGTCCATCCATCCATCCATCCACCCAGCCATCCATTCATCCGTCCTCCCTTCGCTTTGCACAGGGAAGGCTGGTGAGACCTGGGGGCTTGGGGCTGAGCTAGAGGCTGGAACGTGGCCCTACATCTGCGCTTCCTCCCACTGGTTCCAGCTGGTAGCTTCGGCCATGGACACGAACCTGATCCTGGGGGAGGGCTTGGAATCGGCACCTCAATCAGGATCCGGACCATGCAGCTGAGCACCTGTGCTCCAGCCCCGGGCTGGGACCTGGGCCGAGCTCCGGTTGCTTTGCAGGGACCTCTGCCTTTTGGTGGATCCCCCGGTGTTGCTGGGCGAATGGGGAGCTGGGTCACGGGGGACAGGGAACAGCCCTTTCCATTGGCTGGAGCTGGGGGAGGCTGCCTGTCTCCTTCCTCCGCCTGGATCACACTCAGCCCCCTGTGTTCTGCCTGGAGCAGGCACGGGAGGGGCAGGACTCCTGGGGCATCCCTGCCTATGTGGGTTGCCTTGGGCACTGTGCCCGGGCCACCCCGTTGCTGCGTCGGGGAAACACATCCATGCCCTGAACCCGGAGCCAGCTGCTCCCACGCTAGCCTGGTGCTGCCCGCGGGTGCTCGCAGCCCCCTGAGGCCCTTCTGCCCCGCCAGACGCGGGCTGCTCCTCCAGCCATTACGTCTCTGCACCTCCCTGTCCCCCTCCCCTCGCTCTTCCGCTCCAGTAGACTTGGGCTGGGGACATCGGGGTCCCTGGGGGGGTTGGAGCCGGCTTGCTGCATGGGCACAGTGGTGCCTTTGGGGCGTCCTACTGGAGGATGGGCCGGGAACGATCCCCAGGCCTGACCTTGCCGCATGGGCGTCTGTGCTGGGCCAGACTGCAAAGGCCTTGGGCAGATTTCCGAAGGGACCCACGGGAGCTCAGCGCGTGCCCAGTTCCCATTGCTCCGAGGCACCAAACCCTCTTACGCATCTTTGGAAAATCCCTCCCTTGATGTTTGTCCGGCTGGTGAACTGGAACCCAACGCCAGCTCTTTCCCGCGACGCTGGCCTGCCTTTCCCAGCCCCCCGTTCCCACTCTGATGCCATGGGGATGGGCACTCATCTAAGGCAGATCCACATCCCTTTTGCCAAATCACCTCCCTGCTCAGCGAGCCTCTGCCCTGCCTGGTTGCTGCAGCATGGGAGTCAGGTGCAGGGACGCGGGCATGATGATATGGTGGCTGCCTGCTGCTTTTGGCTCTGCCCTGCACAATGCAGAATTTCCCCCGGAGTCTTTAGGAAACAGACTCGCACTGTCCCGCCCCTGTCTCCTCCAGCATCGCAAGCTCTGGCTGGGGGGAGAGGCCCGGGCCGCGGGAACCTGGGATCTTCAGCCAGATGTTTCACTCAGAGCTTTGCGGGTACCCGGATGAGTATGAGGCATGGGGAGCAGGCATATTATTCCTTGGGGTGTGTGGGGGGGAGCGTGGTAAAGCCGGACCCGCCCAGGCTCAGGGTGGCCCCATCAGCACAGTACAGGTCACTGGACAGTTGGGATCCTTCCGCCGGCCTCCATTAATCCCAACCTTCTCCCCTGTCATATTGTGTTTGCTGCCAGCTTCCCTCCTCTCTCCCAGTGAGTTTACATCCTCTTGTAGGCATCCCCGAGGCAGCCTGAGCCATTGGTAGGTGCCACCTGGCCAGTCGTGACTGGCCTGGCAGGCTTTTCTAGTGCCTTGCTGTTCACCGCTCAGAAGTCATTGGCTGTTTTTTTGCTGTGGCCATGTGTGGCCATGCGTGCAGCGATCTTAACTACTGGCCGTGCCCGTCACGGCTGGGAGTGCGCTGTGGCCACCTGGCTGGCACCCGGGTCCCACGCTGCATGCATGCGGTGTGTGTACCAGGACAGATGCCAGCCAATGGGGAAGCGGTGCCCTCATCCTGCCTCTGAATTCCTCCACATCCCGTGTAACTTTCCGAATGCTGAGACCCTTCCTGGACCCGCCCTCAGACTGGCCCCACCTCCCCTGGCGTCCAGACCCACCCACAGACTGGCCTCGCCTCTCCTGGAATCTGGATCTGCCCACAGAATGGCTGGTATTTGTGTGCCTCAGAGGTGGCAGCCCTGCCCTTTGGGTAGAGCCCAGGGCTGGGGGGTAGTAGAGTGGCTCTTAGGTTCTGTTACTGACTCGGATGAACTATGGCAAGTTTCTGAATCTCCCCGTGCCCCAGCTCCCAACCTGTAAAATGGGCGTAGCAGGCTGGCTAGACCGGGCTTCTGTCACCAGTGTCCTCTACTGGATAGAATAAGAACTGCTCTCCTGTGTGTCACATGCCCAGTACTGACAGCAAGCGTGGTTGTTATTCATTCTCCGTATTAGCGTCGTGCCTATGAGCCCTAGTCACGGACCACGACCCTTTGTGCCAGGTGCTGTACAAACACAGACCAAAGAGCTGACAAGCTCCGGAAAGAGAAACCAGCTGGCTACAGCCAGACAAATGTGGGAGTCTCGGGGAGTGAGCCAATGCTGTGTGAATAGATGACCCAGATGCAGGGTGGGCATCGGGGCTGTACATGCAGCAGGAACAATAGGGTGGCCGGAAGGAAGTTTGTTATGTGGCAGGGAGCCGGTGCCCTTGGAGCCGGACGAGATGAGTATACGTTACTCCCCCGTGCATTATTGCCAGGGGGGTCTCTGGTAATTCGATGATGAGTGATGTTCCCTGCCTGTGCCGGGGACCCCTGGACTTTCCGTGAGAACCGAGCATCCTAAGCCCCTCTGAAAACGCAAGCCGTAATCAATAGCCAGTGCCCAGGTGTGGGCAGGTGTCGGCACCATCTGGCTGAGATCCCAGGGCCAGGGAAAAAGACCCAGGTTGGTGGTGCAGGCTGGGGGGGGAAGAGGGGGGCACAGGTTCAGCGGCACCTGCCCCAGCTGGTGGCACCCTGGAAGGGAGATAGCAGGTGGACTGGGTGGGTTTCAGGGCTTGTCTACACAGAGAAATTGACGGCTGTGGCTAGGGAGGTCTAAGAATGACTCTGCCCTAGTGCTGCCCAGCCCTGCAGAGCGTTCCTGGAGACCCACTGTTTGCGTCCTCCGGGCAGACGTGACTGGGGAGAAGTTAATGTGTAGCTAGGACAGTAAACATGGGTCCCCAGTACCAGGAATTGCGCATCCCAGGAAATCCATGGGTGGGGGTGGGGGTTCTTTTTGGATTGCTCTTGAAATTGTGGCCCAGGCCTGGCAATCTTTGTCCTTGACCACGGGGCATGTGGTGTGATGGGCCGGCGCCCGCTGGAGCTGCATACCAAGGAGGTTCGCTAGGAAGCCAGGGGAGCAGGTGGCTCGTGCCCTGATATGGAAAGGGGGCACTGCTTTTCTGAGTCTGGGATGGGAAACCCTGCTGTCTG